CTACACCTTCACAATTGAAGCCCGGAATGGGGTGTCACCGTACAGCCAACACCGCAGCGTGGCCACTGCCACCATCAGCGTCAACCAGACGGGTAAGGGGCCACCAACATCTCCCACAGTGTCCTTCTGTCACCTCCATGATGTCCTTGTCCTGCGCTGGGCGACTCTCTTATATCCTTGTTACCCATGGGGCACCTCATGATGTCTTTACCCCTGATGGTGACACCAACATGTCCCCCTGGCAGAGCCACCCCGGGTGACATCGGTGAGCCTGGATGGACGGACATCCACCAGCTTGGTCCTCTCCTGGACGGTGCCACCACGGCAGCAGAGTCGGGTCTGGAAGTACGAGGTCACCTACAGCAAGAAGGTCCGTCTCTTGGCACGGCTTCAGCCCATCACCCCACATCTGTGTCAGTCCCCTCCATCCATGTCACATCCATCCATGTCCCTATCAACATCACCCTCCCATCCATCCATGTCACCTCCATCCATGTCCCTTATCAACATCACCCTCTCATCCATCCATGTCACCTCCATCCTTGATTCTATCCACATCACCCTCCCTCCATCCATGTTGCCTCCATCCCGGTCACCTCCATCCACATCACCTCCACCCTTGCCCCTATCCACATCCCCTCCATGTCACCTCTGTCCCTGTCTCACCCCACCGTGTCCCCAGGTGGATGAGAACAGCTACTCGGTGCTGCGCTGCGAGGGCACCTCCGTCACCCTCCCCAAGCTGTCCCCTGCCACCACCTACGTGGTGCGGGTCCAGGCGCTCACCTCGGATGGCCACGGGGCCTACAGCCCCCAGCACGAGTTCGAGACCCTGCCCGAGGGTGAGGACCTTGACAGGCAGGATTTTGGGGTGGGGGGTTCAGGGGGTGCTTGGTTCACCCCAAATCTCCCCCTTGAATCATACCAACAGGCGCCGAGGCCATGGCATCCGCCACCGTCATCAGCGGCTCCATCGCTGGTGTCTTCTTTGTGCTCCTGCTCTTGGCTGCTCTCCTCTATGTCCTCCGGCGGTAGGAGATAAAAAAACCCAAAACCTCCTCTAAAACCCCCAAAATACTGTTTTCCACCACCAAAAATGGTGTCTAAATGGGCAAAATGCCACTTTTCCATAGGAGGAGGAGGTCACGGCCACGCCAGTCCTCTGAGGACGTCTACTTCTCCAAGTCAGGTGAGCAATGGGATGGTGTGTTCAGTGCAGATGGGTGGAGGGTGACCTGGATGCTGACACCCCCGCCATGGCACCCCACAGACCAGCTGAAGCCCCTCAAGACCTATGTTGACCCTCACACCTATGAGGACCCCAACCAAGCCATGCTCAAATTCACCACTGAGATCCCTCCATCCTTCATCACCCGCCAGAAGGTCATCGGTGCCGGTAGGTCCTCAGGTGGCTTTGTCACCCCAAAGACACCCCAGAGTTGGACCATGGTGACAGGATAAACATCCCCCCATCCTCCGAGCAGGTGAATTTGGGGAGGTCTATAAGGGGACCCTGAAGCGTGGCAAGAAGGAGGTGCCGGTGGCCATCAAGACCTTGAAGGTGGGCTACACGGAGAAGCAACGGGTGGACTTCTTGAGCGAAGCCACCATCATGGGCCAGTTCTGCCACCACAACATCATCCGCCTGGAAGGGGTCGTCTCCAAGTGTGAGTGTCGTGTGTATGTGTCCAAAACCCCCCAATTTCCCTGCAAAACACCCCAAAAATGGCTTTGTGAGAATGGGGTGTTTTGAGCAATGATATGGGGGGGGAAGGGTTGGGAGTTTGGGGGGTTTTGGATGTGGTTTTGGGGGTTGTTGAGGGGATTAGGAGGTTTTGGGGGGTTTGGTGTTATTTGGTGGGAGTTGGGGGTTTTGGGGGGGTTGGTTTTGGGAGGATTGGTGGGATTTTTGGAGTTGAATTTTACCCATTTTGGGTCTTTTCTTCCTACAGACAAACCCTTCATGATCATCACAGAGTACATGGAGAATGGCGCGTTGGACAAGTTCCTGCGGGTAGGTGAAGTGTGGTGGCAACATGTGTCCCACCACCCCAGGCAAGGATGGAACCCCCAAACTTTCCCTATGGGAGATGGATTTAAGGCCGGATTCTCCCCCTTTTCCTAGGAAAAAGAAGGGGAATTTGGTGTCATCCAGCTGGTGGGGATGCTGAGGGGCATCGCTGCCGGCATGAAGTACTTGGCCAACATGAATTACGTCCACCGGGATCTGGCCGCCCGGAATATCTTGGTGAACAGCAACCTGGTGTGCAAAGTGTCGGATTTTGGCCTTTCCAGAGTGTTGGAAGATGACCCTGAAGCCACCTACACCACCAGCGTAAGTGCCCCCATGGGGGCTGGCCATGGTGAGGGTGGGTTTTGGGGGGGAAGATGAAGGGTTGACCCCAACGTTGCTACGACAGGGTGGGAAGATCCCCATCCGTTGGACAGCACCTGAAGCCATCTCCTTCCGCAAGTTCACCTCCGCCAGCGATGTCTGGAGCTACGGCATCGTCATGTGGGAGGTGATGTCTTATGGAGAGAGACCCTACTGGGAGCTCTCAAACCACGAGGTGAGCATCTCCTACCCCAATTTTGGGGGGGCATTCTGGCAAATGGACAACTTTTGGAGGGGGTAGCACCACTCAACCTCCTTTTGAGAGTGGTGAGGTGCTGTTTGCCCAAAGAAGTGGTAAATGCCCCCTCCCTGGCAGTGTTCAAGGCCAGGTTGGACACAGGGGCTTGGAGCAACCTGCTCTAGTGGAAGGTGTCTCTGCCTTGGACCTGGATGAGTTTTAAGGTCCCTTCCAACACGAACCACTCTGGGATATGATGGTTCCTCCTCCTCGTAGGTGATGAAGGCCATCAACGAGGGCTTCCGCCTGCCCGCGCCGCTGGACTGCCCCTCGGCCATCTACCAGCTGATGATGCAGTGCTGGCAGCAGGAGCGCTCCCGGCGCCCCAAGTTCGCCGACGTCGTCAGCATCCTGGACAAGCTCATCCGCGCCCCCGAGTCCCTCAAGGCGCTGGCGGACTTCGACCCC